CTTCTTTCTGCTACACCATTCTGGTCTGGTGAACCAGGCATGGTGTATTGGGCAACAATCCCATGATCTTGAAGAAACTTTGCAAATGGCCCCAAGTGCTTGTCCATCCTCTGTGTATCTACCATAATATTCTCCACCTCTATCTGATCTTACGATCTTAATTTGCTTACCACATTGTTTCTCTACTTCAGCCTTAAAGATTTTAAAGGCATCTAATGCTTCGTACTTGTTATAAAGCATGTAGAGATACATATATATTGAGTAATCATCTATAAAAGAGATGAAGTATTTCTGACCATGTGAGTCCATGTCTGGACTACATATATCAGTATGTATGATCTCTAATATGTCCGAACTCCTATTGGCACCTTTCTTTGACTTGTTAGTCTGCTTTCCCTTTATGCAGTTCACACAAGTCTCAAAATCAGTAAAATCCAGAGTATTAAGTACTCCTTCATTTACTCTTTTAATTCTATCTATGGAGATGTGTCCTAATCTTTGGTGCCATAATTTAGAGGAGTCCTCATTAATAACACATCTTTTAGCGCTAGTGTGAACATGCATTGAATCATAAGTGGCATTGTTTTGTAAATTAATGCAATAAAGACCATCAGACAAAGTAACATTCCCAACACAATCAGATTTATAAAATAAGCTGAAAGATGAATCTGAAAAATTAAAGGAATATCCAAAGGGTACAAGCCTTGAAACTGAAATCAAGTTTCTAGAAAAACTTGGAACATAAAAGGTCTTTTCTAACATTAAAACAAAGCCACTACTTAAAATTAAATAGCAAGTTCCTACAGCTTCCACATGCGAGCCCATCTTGTTTCCTGATAAGATGCTTTGCTCACTTCCCACTAGCTTCCTTAGGTTTTGCAAACCCTGCAAGGAATTTGAAATGTGGATTGTTGATCCAGAATCAATCCACCATGTGTTAATATTGACATTAACCATATTAGATTCATAACAAACAAATGAGGTTGGATTACCTTTGTCCGCAAGCCATTTCTGAAATTTGGCGCATTCCTTCTTCATGTGTCCCTTCTTTTTACAGAAGAAACACTTGGAATCTTTCTTGATACCACTTTGGGGAGGCATTTTACCTTTCCCTTTCTTATTGGCTTGATATTTTCCCTTTCCATGCGTTGCAAGCATTGCACTTTCTCCATTTTCCATCACCAGTCTCCCTTCCTCTTGAACACACATGGTCATAAGTTCATTAATTGACCATTTATCCTTATGTGTGTTGTATGAGATTTTGAAGGGTCCATATTGATGCGGAAGGGTGTTCAAGATGTAGTGCACCAGGAAGGAATCCGACATTTCAACCTCGAGATTCTTCAATTGAGCCACAATATCCCTCATTTGCATGATGTGCTCGCGCACACCTCTCACATCGGTGAGCCTTAGGGATGAGAGCTTCATGATCAGGGTGCTTGCTAGTGCCTTGTCTGAAGTGACAAATTGATCATCAATGGCTTTTAGCAAGTCTTTGACCTTTTCATGCCGATCAACAGAACCACGGATACTAACAGAGATTCTAGTCTTAATGAACATCATGCTGTGATGATTAGATTGCTCCCATCGTTCATAAAGTGTGATGTCCGCTGCAGTGCTAGTATTAGTGAGTGTTGGTGGTTCGTCTTTCCTAATAGCATAGTCTATGTCCATCCACCCCAAATTAAGAAGAACTCTCTCCTTCCAGACCTTATAGTTATCTCCCTTAAGTTCAGGGATATCAAAACGAATATCAGAGAAATTTGCAGGTTGTACGATTGCATAAAATTATAGATTACATGCTTATATTAAAACTGAAGCTTAAACAAAATATCATGCTTTACCAATGTAAATCATGCTTAAAAATTGAATCTAATGACATAAAAATTGCTTGTGGGCTAAATTTCAAATTCAAGCAGATTCATTTATTCTTTATGATAAAACTATCAAATTATTTACTAAATTCATAATTCCTATGGGTAAATTATGAATAACTTGATATTTTATCCTAATTAATAATATAAATATAATAAAAATTCATGTGGGAAAAAATTTATTATATTAAGTATAATTAATTACAATTAATGTCTAATATTATTTATGTGATCCTAATCAATCATAATATATAACTTTATTTAATTAAAGATGTTGTGGCTATTCTCTAATTAATTAAAATTATATGGATCACTAGACATTAAATCCCATAAAGACTAGCTTAATATTACGAATTACATAATTTTAACAAACACTAATATGTTATTATTATGCACAAAATATTCTCATAAGCATAAATATTGCATAATTAAAACTATAATAATATGCATAAGATTTAATATTATGTCTTTATCCATATATACTCATTCGAAAATTGCATGTATCAATTCATGAAAAATAAATATGAGCATAATTAATTTAGGATTCTACACAATTTAACTTATCAAAAAATGCATATGAGTAAACCAAAATTAATATAATATGCATAATTAAAATGAGCAAAATTAGACATAGTATAAATTTTCTTTTACCAATTAAATGACAAAAACGTTAAATGGCCTGTTTGGCTCAGTAGCATACTTCTTTACATGAGATCACAGGTTTAAGTCCCAGAACGTTAGATCTAAAAAAAAAATTTTTTTTCTTTTTTAATTGACAAGTAAATCACATGTCGTATTCAAGACTTAAGGAAAACTGACATGTCATCTTGGGCTCCAATCGTCTTCAACCTTTGATCGGATCTGTAACCGGATGTCGACCCGAAAACGACCCAATAGCCAAACCCGGGTGGAAATCCACCATTTAAACACCAAAATAATTGTTTCAAAGCCCAGAAATGATAGAAATCCAATTTCCTAATGATTTATAACATTTATTTTCATTAAAAACAACTAAAAAACAAACTTTGATTTTTTTTTAAAAAATTCAAACGGCCATGAACAAAGAGCTTCAAAATTTTCTTTTGCAAAACATCAAGGCAGAGGTATTATATGACTCTGATACCAACTGTAAGAAACTTATCTGCAATCTAAGCAAAAATACAAAGAATACAATGTTCTTAAACTATAAACCAAGAATCAAGAACTACCTCCAGCCATTGAAACAAACTCACGGAGCGGTATTTTGGCTCTTCTAAGCTCTCAAGATACTCTAATATTGATGGTGTATTTTTTTAGTTGAGTACTGAGCTTAGGGACAAAATATTATATATAGTCAAGCTTTCATCAAGCTCTTAATGGCAGCCATAAGTCTCAATCAATGGTTAAACAAAAATGTTTGAAAACTGAAGCAACAAATGTGGACCATTAATCTTTAAAACTGATGAAAATCAAATATCAACGTTACATGAGTAACGTAAGTTTTACATTACATCCATGGAAATAAGTGTTTGTTAAAAATTCCTCTGGGTGAGTATGTTACTTATGCCAAACCTCAGGGGAGAAAGTGTCTCAAACTCATACAATAAGTTAATACAATAAACCACCACTAGGTGGTCCAGCAGTCAACTAGGACTCTTGAGTGTATTACTCAAGAGGTCATAAGTTCGATCTACCTGGGTTGCTAATAAGGGTGGTCATTAAGAGGATTTACCTAGCTATCAACTTCAAGACCCCGAGAGATTAGTTAAGGTGCACACAAGCTGGCCCAAACACCCCTGTCACCAAAAAATAAAAAAATAAGTTACTACAATAGCGGTACCATGAGCCAATGCAAACATGCCTCAAAAATATTCAATTTAATAACCTTCACTCATATTAATTATAAAGATAATTAAGGTTAAAAAATTTATACATATCCTAAAGAAATTAGCTTATTGTAAGAATAATGCCAGAAATTTCATAATATTAATTTTTTTTCTTAATGTAGTAAGATGAGGCCGATTCAAATAGAAATACTCATTTAAGAAAGAATAAAGATAAAATCATAAGAAGCGGATAAGGGTATAATCTAGCACCAAGTATTATACCATTCCCATTCACATTCACACCACAAATTGAAGTCATGCAATGTAAGTATTATACCATAGGCCCAAAGTCTGAATCTGATTGTCATAAATTAGTTTTGTTGTGAAAATGAGATAATTCTAGAAACACCCACATCACAACGCTATTGTCAAAGTGTGAACATATTTTACACTTATTTTTTATATGTGAAAATAGTTTACAACATGTTTTATTTATACAATATTTCCTTCTTCTCTTATTCCATTTTAAAGTAACCAGCGGATAGAGTTCAAGCAGATTCCAGAGCTATATATAAATTATTGTTGATTATGAAGTAAATTTGAATTAAAATTCACAATGTTACACACTTGTTTAAAACTCGAATAAGTTTAGATTATGAGAAAATATTATACTCGAGCTAGCTAATTTAAGATTGTTTATTTTCATATAGTTGTAGTTTACTATATATAAATATGGTTCGGGAGATTATAACTTCAATTCTTAACTTAATTTTTTGACCGTCTTTGTGAACAATTCATCTACATCAATCTAACAGTAATAAAAGATGTTGAATTGGCATTAATTGTAATTACCTTTAATTTTATATTTATTACTGTTGCATCAAATATATATGAAAAAATTATATTAAATGATTATATGATCATTTAAAATATTTTTAAAAAGAATCGTGCATGGTTATTTGAAAGTTGACTCACAATGAACATTTTTTTAATGAAATTGTAATACTAAATTATAACACAAAAATCGGTGTTGGGTTATACAATAGTTTGCGAAAGTGTGTTAGGTACTTAGCCACACAAATCACATTATAAAAAAATCAATCATTTTGGAAAGTAACCTTAATAACTACTTACAGAAAAAACTCAAAATCATCATTGAACAATTCTGAAGGCAAAACTACAAATACGGCCCCGATGACCCGCACATCACCAAGACTAGAGCCATGCACATGAGATCACGTCCTGATGACCCGCCACCACTTATGCCTTCTTTTAAATAGCTTATCTCTTCCCTCCAACAATACATTACCCTAATTCAGCCATGGTTACTGAGAAAACAATAGTTGAAGAAGTCTCCGGTTGGCTACGAATCTACAATGATGGCTCCGTGGACCGCACATGGACCGGACCACCCGAGGTCAAGTTCATGATCGACCCCGTCCCACCCCACCAGGAATTTTCACACGGCATCGCCACCAAGGATGTCACCATCAACGGCACTACTAATCTCCGAGTCCGAATTTATCAACCAGAGAAACAACACGATGATCAACACAAGCTACCGATTCTTCTTCATTTTCACGGCGGCGGTTTTTGCGTTAGCCAACCTAATTGTTTTATGTACTATAACATTTACTCTAGGCTTGCGAAGTCTGTCCCCGCCGTTATTGTCTCCGTTTATCTCCGGCTAGCTCCCGAGCACCGCCTTCCGGCTGCATGCGACGATGGCTTCGAAGCCCTGATGTGGCTCCGTTCACTGGCTCAGGGCCAGTCACATGAGCCTTGGATCAACAAAAACGGAAACTTCAACCGAGTTTTTCTCATTGGAGATAGCTCAGGAGGGAACGTGGTGCACGAAGTAGCAGCACGTGCAGGAAATGTGCACGACATAACTCCGTTAAAACTAGTCGGAGCGATTCCGATCCATCCGGGTTTCATGCGGGCAGAACGGAGCAAGTCGGAGTTGGAAAAACCCGAGTCACCGTTTTTAACCCTAGAGATGGTGGATAAGTTAATTAAGTTAGCGTTACCGGAGGGGTGTAATAAGGATCATCATTTAACGTGTCCAATGGGGGCGGCTGCGCCGCCGTTGAATGAGCTAAAACTGCCGCCGTTTCTGGTATGTGTGGCGGAGAATGACTTGATGTATGACACTGAGTTGGAGTACTATGAGGCGATGAAGAAGGCGGAGAAAGATGTGGGATTGGTGATGAGTAATGGGATGGGGCATTGTTTTTATTTGAATAAAATTGCAATAGACATGGATCCAAAAACTGGTGGAGAAACTAGCAATCTTATTCAAAGTATCTCAGAGTTCATAAAAAAGCATTGACATTGTAAGCTCCATTTGTAATATGTTACAGAAGTTTTATGGTTTATGTTCTAATAAATGGACGTTAAAGATTTGGTTTCGGTCGTCTGATGAGATTTCTACGGTGTTTTTAGATTCATATTAAATTGTGTTGTGCATATTTGTAAGGATAAGAACAACACAGAAAGGAACGATAAACAATACATTTGGTTTGTTTGCACATTCGATGTTCTTAGTTCTCACGGACACATTTATAGCCAATACAATCATATTTAACCTTTTTTCATTGAGTTTGAGTTTCATTTCAAACTCAGGCTTGTAAAACAAGAACGGGGATTTATGAATTATAAAAAAAAAAAAGTAAGCATCACCGTTCATTACTATGATAAAGTTTTTTTATTACTATGGATAAAATGAAAACAGCTGGAGAGAACACCAACTTGTTCTTTAAATTCTACTCCCTCTGGGCTCAACTTGAAGATTTACCATATTCATTCGAAGGAGCTTTTCAAAATTTTTTCTCTCAACACAACCCTATATGTTTGTTTAATAGGATCATCTCTCCTGATTTTAGATATTGTATCAAAGGACAATGCAAAAGATATACGTTAGTGATTTTTAGCCCCCGTCTTCTACTTTAGATAGGGCTATAATAGTATTTAAAAAGATTGTAAATAATTATAAGAAGGATTTCTAGATATGTTCGTCATTTTGCTCCAGATTTGAAATCTTTTATTATCCTTTGTTTCTATAAAACACTCCAAAAACTAACATAAAGATGTAGCTTGATTTAAGTTTTAGTTTTTTTTCTGGGTTTCCATTTTGCAATATAATTATCATAATGAATAGTTTTGTGATTCATAACAAATTATAAAACTTGGAAAAGGCTCTACAAAAGAAAATCGAACAATACTTTGGATTTACAAGGATATGAAATTTGAATATAGCAAGAGAAACATTTTAATCTAATTGTGATAATAATTACTGTATAGTCTATTTAAATTCACTTTTAAATTTTTAGTATATGCAAATATAAAGCTTTCATGTAAAATACGGACGAAGAAGAAGAATTAAATGTTTTATTATAATTATATCCTTATTTAAATTGAGGAAAAAGATAATACATTTCCGATTCACTTTCAAAAAGCCCGAAAGAATTAGAGGTTAAATCCATAAGATCTTCCAACAGAAATGGAGCTACGAGCCCATCACACCAATAAAATAGTCATGCTATATGTGAAATGAAATTATCGGAAAATACTTTTCATTTTTGTATGTAAATTATTGATTGAGTTTGGTGCTTTATTTAACCAAAAATATTATTTATATTCTTCACTAATTAGGATGCACATTGGATTCCTTGGTTGATGTGTCTGTTTGTTGTGAAAACGAGGTCTATTTAGAGATTATGCCAGAAACATTAAATGAACACAAACTACAACATGTTTATTATGATTTCATCCGTCACTATCGATGGTTTTCTGAAAAGGATTTATGAAAATGGCCTTTATTTATTTCAAAGTTGGGCTATCTACATAAATTTGGGCATGTTTACAAACATTAGTAGCCCAACACTATCACGTGGTCCCCTGTAATCCCTAGCGTTTTAAACTCTTTAAATTGTGCCCCTCCTTAGTCCTTACTGATACAAAACTTATTAATTTTTCTAGTTTTTAAAATTTTCTTATCTAAAATATTTCATTACATTTATTTTTATTCTAGGTAATTTTTTTTAGTTTTATTAAAATATTATTGAATATTTAACTAATAAAATGGGGTAAAGGTTGCATTTTCGAAACCAACAAGTGTATTATATCTTGTGATGCTTTTGGTGGTTACAAAATACATCAAATTTTTTTATAAATAAATGTTTGGGATTTCGACATAAAAGAAATGTTAGATGTACAAAGACTCTTATAAAAAGTCTTTGTACAAAGTAACGTAACATTTGTCACACCACCAGTTTGTGAAAAGAAAGAGAAGATTGATGTGAAACTAGTGTCACATCACTTTGTACAAAGACTCTTTGTACATATAGCATTTTTTTTTCGATATAAATGCCTATCTACCAACATCTTTCATCAATTATTCGATATTGATAACATGATAATTATAATGAAAAACGTTGTTTATTTTTTTTTTTATTAATAAATTATTATATTAAATAATTATTTTACAAACATCATTTTAGGGTTTACATTAGTTTAATAAGACACATTTTGGGATTTATGTAGATTCTTGCTTAATCACATATATATTTACTTTACAAACAATTTAACTTCAGATCAAAATTATAAGAGTGATAATGGATGATCCTAATATATTTTACTTTTAGAAGCCTTAAGATTTTATTTTTATATTTATCTTTTTTTATATAAATTAAATATATATTAGGAAGCTTATAGGGTCGGTCTTGCTTCTTGTTTACATAAAGGCATGTGATTTGGGAAAAGAAAAAAGTGAATCAATTAATATAAGAAGAAAATATCGTGTTTTCTAAGTTCGTCTTGGATTCCTTCAAAGAAATCCTATAAGGTTGACAAAGCAATTCTGATTATGCGATCCTTAGTTTTGACTTACACATTTAATCTATCGGGTGGTTAATAGTTTGTGATGGTTTTGAGAGTTAAAAATAATTACGTCATTTTTGTTAAATAAATGAATAAAAGTACATCAGCCACGAGATATTTTATTTTAGACCTAGATTACTTTGGGATTTTGAATAATAAAAATGGCTATATGCAAATTAATACAAACCTAGCTATTTTAATTTCATCAAAATTTAGCTTTAAGCTTCCCCACAATTTCATCAAAGTGGAAGGTGGTTCCCACGGCTGCTTCAATATATTTGACATTTGTTTAAAAACGTGCTTTAATTTTCAACTCTTGAAAGAGACAACGCCACTCAACTTGTAACACGTATCCTATCTTTATTATTTCATTTTTTACTAATTATTGTTAATTTATTATTCTGCTTTTATTTATTTTTATATTTATACTATAATTTTGTAAATCGTCCAATATCATATAAAAAGAATTACTAAAATCAAACGTAAATTATCAAAGTTATAAAGATCTCAACACAAAACAAAAAAGTTGTTTTCTATCTTTTTATTCTCTTATTTATCGTCTAATAAAAAATGATATCAAATGTGTTTTTATTCTTATTTTTTAATTTAAAAATAAAAACATTTAATACAATAATGAACACCTGTAGTAAGAGAAAATTTAGCTGACCGGCCATCCCAAGTTTTAATTTAAGAAAATGGCCTTGAAACTGTTTTTCATTTTTTTTTAATTTAGAGAAGCTGACGTCGCACAATTAGGATCCATTAAACATGTAAAATGGGTTAAAATGAAAAGATTAAAATATATAAGGACAAAAATAATTAATGAAAGTTTTTAAAATTTGAAATTTGAAAAAGAGCCCCACCCATTCAAATCGCTTAATCGAAAACAATTAAGGCAAAAATCGATATCTTCAATCCCTAAACACATTCTGTGCAATTTCCGGCGATAACAGTCCACATTCTGGCAAATTTTCACACCCAAATTCAATCCTAAAGCTTCTTCCTTTCTTAAAACCATGGCTGACATTCACAATGAGGAGGAAAACCCAACGCCTCTTCGAATCGTAGAGTCCGGCTGCGCAAGCAGTTCAATGGCTGCTCCGGTGGATCCTCCGATCAGTGAAGGTGTTCCAGCAGTGGAGACGATGGCGGCACAACAAGAGAGAGAACAGGAGCAAAACGATTCTGAAGAGGAAGAGGAGGCCGGGCAGAATTCAGGCCAGGAAGAGGAGTCCGATGAGAGTTCAGACGAGGAGGAGGAGGCCGCCAAAGAGAGGAGGCCGCCGAAGAAAAGGTATTTGTACTTGCCGAGACCTAAGATCGCTTAAGCGATCCTTTGTATCGCTTAAGCGATTGATGGCTTTTACTCTTGGTCGTTTAAGCTATTTAGGATTGCTTAAGAGTAAAAGCGATGAATCGCTTAAGCGATATAAACAATCGCTTAAGCGATATAAACAATCGCTTAAGCGATCTTAGATCTAGCAGATGTTGATTCTGCCTCGTACAAGATCTCTTAAGCGATCTGTAATCGCTTAAGCGACCAAGAGTAAAAGTGATGAATCGCTTTTACTCTTGGTCGCTTAAGCGATTTTAAGATCGTTAAGCAATCTCTTCCGAGGCAGAACCAAATCTACCCAGATCTATAACGCTTAAGCGTCCTTTGTGGTCACTAAGCGACAGATCGTTAAGAGTAAAAGTGTCGAATGCTTAAGCGATATAAAAGATCGCTTAAGCGATCTTAGATCTGGGTAGATGTTGATTCTGCCTTGGAAGAGATCACTTAAGCGATCTTAAATTGCTTAGCGACCAAGAGTAAAATAATGAATCGCTTAAGCGATCTTCTTATCGCTTAAGCGATTCTCGTTAAGAGATCTTATGAGGCAGAATCATCTGCCCATCGCTTAAGCGATTCTTCCGGAGTGTATTTGTTTATATTTGATTTGGTTTAATTTTTTGCTGATATTTTGTTTATATCGATTGTGCAGATTTTCCGGAGCGTAAACTATAGAGAGTACGGATTGGAGGTTGTAAGCGATACGTACCTTACTTCCCTGTGAGGGTGACAGTGAGCTCAAGTTGGGATGTTTTAACGAGAATAACGGGGATTTTAGGGATAGTGAGGAATGGTGAAAGGAGATTCAAAGAGACTTGTTCAGTCATTTTTGGGATATGGACACAAATGGAAAAAGACATTCTGGGGGTCGGGGTGTATTATATGTTGCTGCACTCATAAAAAGCAACAAAAAGCACGAAATGTGGTTCATGGTGGATGGAAAGCCTACGTTTCGGGATGATGGAATATGCGTTGGTGACTGGCTTAAGATGTGGGGAATTGCCAGGTGAGGTTGAGTAAAAAAGAATAACGGACAGTGCGGGAGCAAAAGGTTGGCTAACAAGGTTTTGGCGGGGAAAAGTCTATTAAGGCATAGGAATTAGAGGATAGGTTAAAGA